TGTAGTCCCAGCTACTCGGGAGGCTGAGGCAGGAGAATGGCGTAAACCCGGGAGGCGGAGCTTGCAGTGAGCTGAGATCCAGCCACTGCACTCCAGCCTGGGCGACAGAGCGAGGCTCCGTCTCAAAAAAAAAAAGAAATTATGTATTAACATTGGCTCATCAACTGAAATAACTGTACCACAATAATACCAGATGTCAATAATAGGGGAACTGTAAAGGTGGGGGTGGAGATGAGATGAATGGGAATTCTCTGTACTATACACTCATTTTTCTATAAGCTTAAAAAATAAAGTCTAAATGATGAAGGTGCCTGAAATTGTGGCTCTCAGGCAGGGATCGCATAAGACAGAGTTCTCTAGGTAATCATGCTCATTCAAAAAGGAAAAATTAGAAACTTATTGAGTAGAATAAAAAGGTCAAGGTATGCCAGCTGGCTATGGAAGCTTCCCCCATTTCACACGCTGGAGTAGCAGAGATGTATGCACAGGCAGATGAAGATCTCAAAGGCCACTGTTGTAACTGTGCTGTAGCACAGAGAAAAATCTTTGAGAAACAGACCTGCAGCTAGTATTTCTGTCAGCTGAAGAGAAAGTTAAGTCAGTTCTTGCACACAGGGACACACATCTGACCTCATACCCAGATTCACTTCTTTTCTGCTGTACACATTCTCCTGGTCCTTCTCTTCAACCTTCTGATTTGGAAAGAAGTTCTCTCATACAAGAATGAACAATTTTCAAAAAGAAACCAACACAGAATCCATACAAAAAAATACCACAAGAACAAAGGTGGAAAGGATAGGGAAAAACACATGTCAAAGAACTCATGCCAGAGGGACGTACACATCTGTGAGCTCATCCTGTGAACTCAAGAACTTCATGAAATCATCAATTCTGTAGAAAAAATAATACGATTAAAACAAAGAAAAAAGTTTCAAGAGGTAAATAATATGATAAAACAAGGAGATGAAATGTGTACACACAACACAGTCAGCAAAAGGAGGAGGAAAATGAGGCTACCCTGTAGAGACAGCCAAGCCATAAGCCACAAAACTTAAAAGAGACATTACTGAAAACACAGTAGAGTGTTTTACAAATAAAACACTTTAAAGGTTAAAAAAAAAAAAGAAAGAAAGAAAAAGGTAAACAAAACAGGATAAGATCAAGACATTAGTTTTTCAAAAAAAGGTTTAGTGGAAAAATGATAGATTCGGAAACTAGATAAAAGAGATCTCTGATATGCATAATCCATTTCCCTGAAGAAGAGAACAAAACAAATGGAACAGAAAAAAATGTATAGTCTGAGAAAACATTAATAATATACCATTAAGTC